TTGCAAATTTTGTATTTTTTGTATAATTGCAATTTTCGCATGCAATACAAAAGTGTACAAAATTTGCAAACTTTGCAAGGCTATATTTTCCGTATTTTGCAACAATTCGCAACCAAACTTTGCAATAATTTACTTATTTTAGTATGCTCTTTCTAGCTGTGGTGATTTATTTGCATCAAGGCTGGATTTTGAGGGAAGTGTGGAGAGGTGCGCACCTCCCCAGAGATCGTTTTGCACCTCCCCTGAGAATTTTTCCACCTCTCTTGAAAGGTCATGCACTTCCCCTTGGGAAAGTTTCAATGATGGAACAAAGTGAAAATGTGATGATTGCTTAGGATCTACACTTTGTGACGTAAGAAAGTTTTCTCTGTAAAATTGAAACAGTGATAGCCATGTCAAGCACCCTTTTAATGCAATGTTTTGAAAGAAACAGTGTAGCAATTGTAATGAAGGGCAACTGGTACATATTATGTACCCTACATGCATACCTCACCTCGTTGATATTGGCCTGTTCTACAATAAGCCCTAACTCTCCATGGGAGTTGTGAGCTAGACCGCTGCACCTCTCCTAAAATTTTTGTCCACCTCCCCCACTATTTTCATCAAAATCCGGTCTTGATTTGCATCTCTTTGCCTAGTTCTAAAATTAGTCTATAATGCGAATTGTCTATTTACATGAACATGAGAGACTTTTTATTTGACTTCCATTTATGAATATTAAAGTCTATGAATATTGTTATTTGTTGTTAAGTTGTTTTGTGATACATTTTTAAAACTACTGTTTTTTCAAACTGGTAAATATTTTCAAAGCCCCCCTTCTTTCGTCTCTCTGTATTTTTTCAAAGCCCCCCCTTTCAGGTTTTGAAAAATTTAAAGGCCCCCCCCAGTTTCTCCTCAATCCCCCCCTGTACAATAAATAATGAGCGGTCCCTAATTTAGGAAATTGAAAAGAAAAGCAGTTCATGTTTTAGGCAAAAAATTTAATTAAAGATGCGGTACAGTCCGAGCCCTCTTTTTATTTACAAACAGTTTATTTAGGTTTTTATTTCATTTTATGTTCTTGCAAAGCTTGATTGTTGTCTCTTGATAATTTATTATACTCTAGAATCATGAAAATATTGATAGTTGTCGAATAAAATTCAATATTTTGGATACCGAAATGTAAACAAAGCCTTTGTTTACATACGGACTGTACCGCATCTTTAAAGCAACAAAATTCATAAGCATTAAACATTCAAAGCAAACTTGCCCTATAACTTCATGCTTTCTCATAGTAAATCAATTCTTCTCATTTCTTCAAACAACAATTGCTTCAAAGCTCATTGTACATGTGAAACTATTTTCCAAATATATGTTTTTGAAAATTGAAATCTTGCTTATCCCGCTCCTGGCAAACAGCCAAATTTTAGAGATTGGTGAGCCCATTACCATGAAACCTTGGGTCATAGCCATACCCCCGCGATTATTGGTGAACTTTAGACTTCACTAATGCTTTCCCCGAGTGTAAATAGCTGTGTGGAATTAGTACCATTGCCCCTGGCATACGCCCGGAACGGTGCTCATACATACATTTCCCCTTTGTATCCTTTACCTAGATCCACAGGATAGTGTATGTAAAAATCTCATTTTGCTTGTGATGTTATATATTATATTGAACATGTCATGTTCAGTAGAATTAATAATCAATTTTGTATTGACATTTTTACAGAACAGCGATTATAATAAGAGAAGCTGCAAAAATTTGGGGTGGTAATGTGAAAATTCATTTCAAAAAACATCAAATAGATGCATTGAAAATGGAAGAGCTTGTTTCCCAACTTGAAAAAAGATGCAGCATTGAACGCATTGGTTTTGGCAGAGGTACTGTATAATGTGCTAATGGTGGATTTTAATAAAATACACGCACAAGGACAGTAACTCTGAATAACATTTTGATTTAATGAATTTTTTACGTTTCGACTTGTTTGTATTCATCAATAACAATTTAATAAACAAATTATAAATTGAAATGCAAAAAAAAACTCAAATTAAAATATTTGTGCCGATAGAAAACCATCGGCAATATTTATATATTTATTAATTACCATTAATTATTCAACTTGGAGTGCAACTGCCCCTGCTGCCCTCCCGCCTCTGTGTACAGCCCTGTAATAATATACACTTATACTCATTCCAATTCTGTAGAGTGTATCAGGTCTCATATACAATGGGCACATGAGAAAAACAGAAGACTTAGTGATGGATATGACTACAAGGTACTGTATAACTTTTCTTTCACCAAACAATTTACTTAAATTCTGAGTGGCCAAGGGTGGATTTTCATTTATTTAAAAGGAGGGGTAGAAAAATTTCTGGTGGGGTGCAAGCGGCACTACTCAGTGAGCTTCGACAGGGGTTAGGTGTATGGGTTAAAGCCTTTCGCACAATAGGAGGGTTGAAGCGAAATTTTGGTGGGGTTGAATACTTTATTAGAGGGGATAGTGAGATTCTAACTAGTGGGGTTTAACCCCCCCCCCCCCAGTAGATCCGCCTATGTGAGTGGCTATCATAAAATATGTTCACAATTGAATGCTTTTAAAGTAAATGATAAATACATGCAGTTTAGTATAAAAGTATTTGAACAGAACTAAAACAGTCAAACCTCTAAATATCGATGTCGATTGGGATATAGAAAAGTGATCATTTTAGAGATCTAGGCTAGCTGTCCATATTATAACAGTCACTGCGTGGTTTACGACATCACTTGGAAGACATCACTGTTAAGGCCTTTGCTCAACTGATTAGTACTGTACATCTAAGAGTGATAATTACAATGTTGAAGAAAGTACTCGCTCTTTAACATTTTTTCTTCGTAACTGTTAGACTAAGTATACACCTAAATATACTGTACCTTATTAGTCTTTTACCAGGTTAAATTTTCCCGCTGTGACTAAGACCAGAATTTCCCAGAATTTCATTATGCATAAGGTCTATTGGAGTGAAGCTTATCATGCAGAAGTATGTGTACAGTACTAGTTGGTTTACATATATGTAGGATTGCATACGCATTAACTTTCTCAATTTAACTGAAATACACATATGTTTGTTTCACTCCTTATATTTAAGTACACACCAATTGTATTAATCTAATTCTTGCTTCTTAGGCTAAATTCAAACCGGCAAAAAGAGCCAGATCGTCTTCTAGTGCTTCCGATTCCACAACGTTGTCTTCAAATACCACAGAGTCTGATAGTGAAGGTACTGTGCTTTGAGTCTGTAGCTGTTTAATTTACAGTTGTATTAATACTTCTCCTGATCTAAGTTTTGCAACATTGACATCTGTGACATGCTCTGACTCACTATCAACACGGGTTTCCCCTTGATGAGTAAAATTGTCTGGTCTTACATTGTAGATGGAGTGAAATAACCTAGTGAAAGTGTGAAATAATTATTTGGTATTGAGTTTTGACATCTACAGTATGTGTTTAATTAATTAATAACTACTTGTCAGGTCAACTTTGTTTTCATTGAAAGAAAAACCTGCTTAATTAAAACTAAATTCAAAGAATCCCAGTTTTTATATAACTTTTTAAGCTAACTAGAGACAGTGGTGGCCTAAGTTAGTTTTTGTGAGGGAGGAAAACCGGAGTACCAGGAGAAAAACCCTCGAAGCACAGGAGAGAACCAACCAAACTCTACTTACACGAGTTGATAAGCGCAATGAAGTAACTCAACCAAAGTAACTCCGGTGTTCTTGACCTGCAGTAACATGCTTAACTCAGTGGTAAGAGGCAGCACGCTTAGCCAACATGTTTTGTGTTACTATGCTTAGTATACCAGCAGACATACTGCTATTTGCAAGCTACATGTACCATGAGACGTGGTTTTAAGTGGAAATCGTCATGTTTTAAAGCAAACCAATCAACGTTTGCTCATTATCTTGGAAAATGTTGATTGGTTTGATTTAAAACATGACGATCTCTGTTTAAAACCATTAACGTTTGAAACACAGGCCTTAAAATATCTTTTACAGGGCCGTCTGACAAAATGTCCGGTGACGTTGAGTTTGGGTCGGAAATAAATCTGAATGACACAAATGAATAAACGGTAAATGTTGTAAAGATATTGAATAATTTGTTATTCATACTTATTTCCAAGCCAAAATTAACTTGCTTGCCAGAACAGCAGTTTTATAAAGACTTCGACAACTTAAGCCTGTTTTCCACTTCACCATTTCGCTCGCCGCCCTGCGCTCGACTACGTTAAGGGAGCATTCATTTTTTAGCTGGGGGGGTGGGGTGGGCCGGAGAAATTTGGGGGTGGGTCAGCCAATTTTGACATGCTTCAAAGGGGTGGGTCTTTTTATAGCTTTGGTATAAATGGAGGGGGTCATAAAAATAATCAGTGAAAAAATCACCAATATGATTTTATTGAATTTGGAAATATTTGGATCAAGAATGGTAAAAAGGTCCAGAATCTATCAACTATATCTCGTATCTATAACAATGAAGCAAAATTCATTTGATGCTCTGTTCACACAGTCCATAGGAAAACATTTCCATGACATTCGTCAATTGACTTCGTTTTTATCCGTTTTTGTGTGAAAACATGAATGAAAGAAAACACAGGACCGTAGCATGATTTCAAAATCATGCATGATTTCAAGGTCTGCATGACTTCAAAATCTTTAAGCTTTATTAATTTTAAGCGGCTACATTATCCATGACAAACTGCAAAGAATGAAGATAGTACCCACAGTTTCCTGCAACTTATCCTAGTTATCCAACATATAGTAAATTAAATACGCCTTCGCCCATTTAGTACTACCAAATTGTCAATTTCAACATACTAAAATGCTGTTTTATGACCATCAGAATTGTGTCAAATCTTCCCCCAAAGGCCAGGAAATGGCATTCAGAGACTCTAGATTTAAAAATTTCCTCGGGCCTTCAGCCCTCGCTTTCAGCCCGTAATAAAAAAGAGCTTCCTACAGCCCTGAAACGCTATGGAAACGACACCGTGTGGATTAATAGTTAGGATGAGGGGTCAAAAAATTTTCAGTAAAAAAAATAGGGGGTCATAATTTTTTATCAACTTTTGTCTTGGGGGTTCCAAGTTTTCGCATGGAATTAGACATCAGTTCCTCCGGCCCACCCCCCAGCTAAAAAATGAATGCTCCCTAAAACAACATTTCCAGTTCACCTTTTATACAATAATACTCTGATTTTCCATTTAACATACAAGTCTCTAGTCCTGGGCTAGGGTACATTTTGATTTACGTCGGACAAAGCTACAGTTTGGTCGGACATCAATACACTCGGGTCGGACAAACAATAAACCTCAGTTTCACTTAGGTTGGAGAGAATGTCTGGTGGTTTCCTCTCTACATCGGACAATTTCACGAATGGGTCAGACAATGTCCGTGACCGACCGATATTTTAAGGCCTGTTAAAAATTCATAAACCTTGTGGCAAATCATGTCAGCCATAATATGTCACGTGGAGTGACTTTATATCTGAAAACTCATCTTCATTAGCATTCTTTATATAATTCTTCATCCTAATTAGTATGGTTATATAATTGTTCATCCTAATTAGTATTCTTTTGTAGTCGTATTTTAAGCTATTCAAAACACTCGAACTCGCGTTTTATCATATCTAAAACGCTTGGCTGTGCCTCGCGTTTTAAATATGATAAAACACTCCTTCTCGTGTTTTAAATAGTACATAAGCGAACATGTTTTAAACCCCAGTATATACTATAAACTAATGAAATGTATATTTTAATTTATTGTATTGTATTTATATTGTACTCCATGAGTATTAATTAAGTGGTGAGCATATATCCACAACTGAACAAGGAATTTAATGTACATTATTTTGTTCTAGATGATGAGAAGCAAGAGCAGATATTTCTGATGATGGAAAAATCAGCAAAGAAAATCATTCTAAGAGCATTCAATCTTTGCGATTTGCGATTTGCAAAGCCTAACCATGAAAAAACATCTGGTTCCATTAAGTAAAGTAGTCAATGTTAAACACCGGTCGAAAGGAAAATACCAGTTATTGTTACCTTTGGCAAAAAAGTTAGTGGAAGCAGGTCATATTAAGATTAATGTTGACGATGATAAGGTGAACTACCGAAACCTCAAACGAAATGATTTGGAGGTCAGCAGTGACCTTAAACTGTTGATTGTGAAGCACATTGTGCTACTTCTGATGATGCTAAGGGAGATCTATCAAAAAGCAACCATGGATATAGTCAATCTCCACATATTGTGAGTACCAGTAGTGGTGATGAAGGTAATGGAATGCAATGTAGTCAACTACCTTCTGTTGTCAACAGTGATGATGATGAAACTCAACAAGATAATGGACTCATATTCACTCAAATTTTCTCTTAGTTGGTATTAACCATTGGTATGAACCATTTTGTTATGAACAATTCTCGCAACGTTTTATTTATATTTGTTACTGAACATTGACTATTGCCATCATAAGACTTGTGAAATATAGGGTAATTATGAGCTTTAAATATATATACCAGGT